GCTGTAAAGCACTGTGAAGTGGTATATAAGTCTAAGTGCTATTGGTATTGCTAATAGACCTCAGGGAACTTCCATATGATCAGCTTTCCAGGATCAAGTTTAAAATGGAACTAATATTGATCTGAGCTATTTTCAGATATATTTCAGGTAGAAGAACAAGAGTAGAAAATCCGGCCAGCAAAAATGTGTGTGGGGGGGGTGTTGCTATTGCTTAGCACTTTGTTAAGAACAGGGCTTGGAGGAGAAGGAACCTCACTTTGGTGCTAGAAGGCAAATCAAAGCTGAGCAGTACCAATGCAGTTGCTGCTGCCACTGTCAGACTGAGGCTGAAGCTAAAAGCAATAATGTGTGCTTGACTGGGGAAAAATGGTTATGGTGACCACTCTTGGTAAGGGAAGCATGGAGAGCATGCTTCTACAAGGGAAGGGATGGGGACAAGGCAAGGGAACAAATACTGCCTCTCCTGAAGCAGTGTTCACTATTTGAAATGGTATTTCTTTGTGAGCAGAAATTGGCATAGTGATATTATAGAAAATCTCAACATGATAGACATCCAGTCATGCCATTAGTCATTCCCCTCCGTTGTTGGAAATGGGGCTTCGTACTAGCAACCTTTAAGGCATCTTTCTTAAAAAGACCAGTTACCAGGAGTAAGTACTTGTCCTCCTGAACAGAAGGAGGTCCTTCCTTCTGTTCAAGAACATAGAAGTCCTTCCTTCTATGCAAGGAAGGTAGTCTTTCATAAAATGGATGTTCGGAGTCCCTTTTCTCCAGAGTAGAGATTCCATTAGTTTCTATGTGGTTTTGTTCTGTTTGTTTTGTTCTGTTTTGTTTGTGTTGTGATTTGGTTGTTCATAATTTTTTTTTAATGGCAAAACCATTGAACTGGTCCATTGGGGTAAAATAGGAGAAGCCTCTATTTTATTTTTATTGTGTGGCTTTCTGTCAGAAGATAGGGAGACTTCTTTCAAATTGAAATGTTCTTTGAGCCAGATTGTCCAAGCAATGGGGAATGGTAACATTTCCTTCAAATAGAACTCATATCTTGGGGACTTGATGAATATGTCCATGTAGTGGCATAAATAGTTTGCCACTGCCTTCTTCCAAAGGCAATGACAAAGCATTTTTGGACTATTACTTCATGGACATATTCATCAAGTCCCCAAGATATGAGTTCTATTTGAAGGAGACAGTACCATTTTTGGTGGTGTATTGTTTAATTACCCAGGTTCCCATTCAAATGCTAACCAGGTCTGAACCTGTTTACAACATTCAGAACCCAAATAAGGCCAACCAGGTGATTCTACATACTGAGACCCAAGCAGTGGGTCAACTTCTTCTAGTCCTATAGAATACAATGACCTCACAGGATGATATAGAATAGTGTAATAGTCCTCTATGGTGTGGAGGAGAGTATGTCCAACCTATCAGAACATAAATACTTTGGGGGGGGGGGTGGCAGAATATTCATTCATTTATTCGTCTGCCCCTTTCAATTCATTTAAAAAGGAATCTATCCATTTTCTTAACATGGTCCTATCCATTTCACCTTTTCTCTTAACTGGTTTTTATGAGCATATCTGCTATTGGGGCACTCATACAAGACCTCATGTGGCATTTAGTCTCAAAGAACCCACCCACCCCCACTCCAAGTTCTGCTAATCTACCAGTACAGTGGACAAATTTCAGTCTGGTTTCCTAAGGTCTCCAAAACTACACTGAAAAGTGAGTTCCAGTTTAATCAACTGCAGATGAAACTCTGATCTCATGTTTTGGTTTCAATCCAAAAGAAGCAAAAGAAGTAGCTAAGTGAATGAATCCAGAAGAAAATAAACTAGGTGATATAAAACAAATGGGCATACAATACAGTAAGTCAGATCACAGATCTGCAAATGGACAGAACTATATGGAATAAGATCTGGCCCTTCTATCAGATCAGAAAGATCATTGAGGCAGATTTATTTGGTTAACCATAAAAAATTGCAACAAGATACAGTACTTCTAAACATTTGCTTAAAAAATAATGAAGAAACTAAAGGATTAGTAAGAAGCGAATAAACGTGTTGCATTTTATTACAGGTCGTTCAATAGAAGCTTTTTATTTTATAGCTTATTAAGTGATTTAATTTACCCTTGGCCAATACTAATCGCCACCATGACTTGGCCAAGACTGTAACTCAGGCAGCTGCCGCATTTGTTTTCCCCATCAGCATTTTACAGAGGAGCACTGCGGCAACCCCACGTTTATTGGGAAGCTCTTTGGCTAAGAGAAGTACAATGGAGTGAAC